AAAGGCAAGACCTTTAATTCCAGTATGGGGATTGCTATGTTTGATGCACATAAGTCAAACCAAAAACTTATTGGTGAWGATCTCCCCAAGTTTGRTGCAGCTGGGTGGCCACCGCCATTYCGTTCGACTGTCACAACAATGAGAACATTAWTAAACGATAACTGTGGTGAATCCTCACGGTGGACGAGTGTTACCTTAAGATTTCAGAAGGCATATTTTAACAGAGTTTTTGGTCTACAAGAATCAAAAGTAAGCTTAATTAATTATGTAAATTATATAAGTGCGCATAAATTTCTCTACGAGTTTCTTTATATATTGCTATAATGAAAATATATCACATTGCTTGTGTTAGGAAATGCCACATTTAACAGTATCTCCTTAATTGYTCTCTTTTAGAGTGCCAGTGGAAATATCTACCTTTTTTACAAAGTATCTTCTCTATCAGTGAGATGTTGGCAGCTAGCTAATAAAGTTATGGATAAGATAGAAAABGGCTCTCTAGATCCACCACGCCGTAAAAAAATAATTAGCAGTAAACACACTGTAGTGCAGTCAAACTTCCGTTTTTTGAATGGAAGGGATCCTATAAAGGATGAGGAACAAATTTTCGCGTTACTAAATGATTATTCTGAAGGCAAATTCCCAGACAACTCAGGAGCAGTTCCAAAACGGAAAAAAGCAAAAACTGAAGATAACACACAAGAAACGTCTGTAGGTAGCAGAGAATCACACAACTACGTAATTATGATAAGAAATCATGGCACGTTTACACGCATGACGATGTGTTCTTGAATGAGTATTTTCATTGTTAATGGCGTGCTGCTCCCATATGTCGTGACTTGCACGGTGCACGAACTCCGTTCTGTCATAGTTATGATAATCTCAGCGATAACAATGATGGCGTTACAAAACGTAAGACGTSMRGTCTGACAATTTCATTAAGCTATCCTTTCCATAGAGCTTTAAAATTGAAGATTTATCTGAGCGACTTCAGTCAGAGAAAGAAAAGTCAAGTGCACTTGTTTGTGTAAGTGAATTGAATAAAATAACACATCAGTATCAATTCGGAAATTGACTTTTATTATCGGGAATRTTAGGAAAATAAGGAACAGATGAAAACCATTGCGCGTTTGAACAACGAGCTCTCACATAGTAAGGGGGTATGTATAAAACTTAAGATTAAGATATCTTTGATTCACGTGCTTTCTCAATCCATCGTTTACGTCATTATGTTTACGTTGAACTTAATAAGTAAAACATTTTATTAACACTTTAACAGGAAATTATTAGGTTACAGAACTGAAAAACTAAAGGATGAAAACAGAAGATTATCAAAGGTATCTCTTTTGRAGAAATAAAATATTATTTGCWATAGAATGTAAAACGATACGTTTTTCTGARTTTTAGGCACTTCATGTTGAGKAGTSGAATTCAMAATATCTTGCCTCCTGCGTAAAAGATAAAGAAGAGGTAAATATATATTTGGCAAGCGAGGAAGAATATGTTGCCTAAGTCAAAGAAACCTTTTATATATAACTGAACAGGAGGTACATCGGCTCACCGATAAAATCAAAAAAGCAGAAAAATTACAGAAAGATCTCACCAAGGTAAGATTTAAACT